TCCTGCACTCTGAAGATGCCGGTCACAGGTGCTGGCGAAACGTTAGGAAACAAAACTTCAAGAACACGGCCACACAGCCCGGAAGAGATAATTATAGTTTGATACATACAATTTTATATTGGAATAGGGGAGCACACACTTCTTAAAGAATTATAATTAACCAATTGAATCCTCACCAAATTGTCAATAATATAGCCGGAACCATATTGGGATTCACCATTTCCTTAAAAAAATGGCTATGAGCACCTTGTATCCTGCCTTACTTAAAAGTTCAAGACGGCAAACACATATAAGTATAGCATAATACTAAACACTACGAGCAGCTAAATGTCTAAAATGCCATTATTAAAAAGCTGACTCTCCCCAGATAACTGAGCAAAGCGGTGCCTCAGTCAATTTCATATGAGTCACAAAGTCAGAATCCAACTCCAAGAGAATCCAAGTAACTAGAATAGTCCTTATAATCACCCTGCAAAGGTTACCCAGGAGGGATCGAGTTACCTGAAATAGAGTCACCAGCTGGCTATCTGCAGGTTCAATAAGAAATAACAGAACTGGGGTTGCCATAGGCTGTAACATTCAGGGTAAACTCTAGGTTAAATCTCATGTCCAAATGCAAAGCAAAGATGGCCAAAATGATTACTGTCCTATGTGGCTGATCATGTGTTCAGTGATCAGTGATGTGATCAGTGGAAGACAGAGCAGGTTGGTGATCCTGCTAGAGAACCAGTTTGCATCCTGCAGCAATCATCCAGCTTCGGTGCCATATTAAACAGCACACTCAGTACTTTCTGCATTATCACCAAAGTTGCTGAAATCAACTCTTCAACTTGATAGCACATAAAGACGGGAATAAAACTGGTAATGTCAGTACAAATAACCCCTTGAAGTATACTGGTTTCAGTAAACAAACAAATCTGCTTTTGATCCTCATAGTTTTTAGCCAGTCTTATATATGAGGATTGTTAACCTACATACCTGGAAGATGGAAAATAAGGAAAAATAAGCAGTGAAGAACTGCCTTGACAAAGACCATCTGTTCTTTGCATGCAAAGTATTTCACAAATGTTGACAGAGTGGACCAGGTGGCTATGTTCTGCAAGATAGTCCCAAAGATTACCCTGGGGTATGAAGAAAAAGTATCCATGCCCTTGATGGAGGGATTTTTCATACCAGCCCAGAGGAACTGCTTTGCCAACTTGTAATATATGATGACTGTGGAGATGAGCCAAGGAGAACGCTATAGGGAAATTTGAAAATCCTGCTAAGGATTAACTGGACAAATGAGCAGATAGTGATCCTTCACAAACAGTGTCATCCTATCCAAATTGAAGAGAAAGACCTATAAAAGTCCAAGCTCAGACTAAGGGTATCAACTTGCAGATCAGAGGAAAACTGGAATGACAACATCTGTTGTAACCCCTTAAGTCCAAAATGCCAGATCAATGTACAACACAACCTGATGCTAATACAAAGAAAGAAAAGGAGCAATCTAATATAGGCACAATGCTCATTTGCAGATTTTATGGTATCAGAAGCAGCTTAAATAAATAACACTCAAAAGATTTAAAACTTAAACAACAGCTGTGAGAAAACTATTGACAGTCCTCAAGCCAGACTAAAAGGCTTAATAGTATAGTTCAGAATATCAAGGCATATTAAAAAATGCATTTAACAGTGAGGAGAAAACGGGGTGGTTCCATGGGTGAAGCGTGAAAAATATAATTCCTTTGTTGACTGATAATGATGGAAAGACTAGACCATCAGAGTAACATTACTGGGCTTAAGTCAATGCTGAAGCCATTTTCCTGAGAAGCAAAAACATGTCCATCTTCCCAGTTCCTATAACGTTTCCATTTCCTTGCACTGAGAACTTCTTAACCTTATCTAAATGACTAGATACAATATATATTTAGGTTCACTGCGATGAAAGATTTTATTGGAACAACTCTTCAAATTAAGGCTGATAGAACTATCACAGGCCTTTACGGATGTAGTTGTTGGAATCTGATAATTTGTGTTTCCTCTTGCATTTACAGAAGCAGAGAATAGAGTACAGGAAAGCTTCCTTCTATATCACCATGAATCTGGAGTCAAGGTATCTGGAGATTGAAGCTTTCCCTTCATATAAGTATCTTCCATATCCAACATAATCAGACATTCTAATTATACACTTGGTCTATTTGGATCTAAATCAAAAACAATATTCTTGGAGAAATATTAATCTGTTATGCCTCCATGCCAGGGAGAATGGTACTACTAGGCTTTTACATGCACAAAGGGATTGTTGTTCAGTCACCGGTATCTTCATAGGAAGAATCTTTTCTGAAACTCTGGAGAGATATTGATCAATACTGATAATACTGACTTAGATGAAATATATGACTCAGAATAAGACACCTTCTCTGGAGTGAAGAAGGAAGCTAACTGGAACTCTCCATGGAACTTAAATGGACACCAATATTTTTTTCAAAATCAGTAGTACTGTATGAAATATTGATACCAAGATCAAATCAATCTCCCAGTTTGGGTCCAGCCACAAACACCTTCCAACAGGATGGCCTATGATGGAATGGTCATCTATGGTTCTTGGGCAAATTCCATGAAGATATTAGTTTAGTTCAAAGCCACTATGTGAGAGAGTTCTCTCTTCTGTTAAGAGCTACCAGTTAAGCACTATTAGTTGTAAATTAAAAACTATCAGTACTTGGGAGTGAAACAAGAGCACAGAGAGGAGAAAGAAAGAGTGCATCAGAGAGAACTGGTCATCCCCTATTTATGGCTCTGGCTCCAAAAGTCCTTGCTCCATCCCCCCTACCATAGATTATCTCTGAGATAGTAAAGCCCTAATCAGAAAAGAGGCTCTGTTTATAACCTGTTTGATAACTTGACAAATGCTAAGCAAGTATCCACTTAGCTTTTCTCAACTTGCTTTCTTGAAGATATACTGGGATTGCAACTTTTAATCATATTGTATGTGATGTAACAGGAGGTATGAACAGCATGAAAGGCATGAGGCTGAAAGAGCATAACAGAATACTAAAAGGAGTAAAACATCCTTCAAGCTGACTGGAGAAATAACCCCATGAAGAATGTTCCTTGAACTTTTGCCAGAACAGGTTAAAAAAAAAGTATGAAAGACCTTGTCCCATCCTTTGAAGCACAGGGTGATTGTTTATCTTTACAATAAAAGAAAACTTTACAGTAAAAGACTTAAGAATAGTGCAATAAGGAATACATAATAATAACCTATAAACAACTAACCTATATTACCACATTACTCAAATTAGAACAAAACAGATTATCAAATATTAAATGCCTTGTTAAACTGAAAGTTATTTGCATACCCCCCCCATTATTAAAGTGAGTGGAAAAGCCCCTTCACAAAGAAAAGGCCATCAGCTCTCTAGCGATACCTCTGTATTCAGAGAACATGGCTGGCAACGACCTACATCACTTACTTATGTAAGACTGAAGAGGGAAGTTGTTGGACATCTTATGGATAAAATCCTACAGGAGCTTGACTCTATCTGGTAGTAAAATATTAAATTAATTTAAAAATAAACAAACTAAGTTGCTATCCTTTCATGGCATTTAGAATCTGTTTCCTGAAATGACTGCTTCAGTCAATCCACCTAACCAGTCACTGCAGGTCCTGAATAGTATCCGATATTAACACAGAGAACACCGAGGGCACAATATCGTGTCTGCCCTAATATGACAGGTTAAAATCAGAAAAAGAATGCATGTATTTTCCATTGAAACAATTGAATGCAATTTAGTACACTTGTAAAAAAAAAAATTGTGAAATTCCCATGC